TAAACGTTCTTAAAAGTTGCCTTGATCAGGAGCTCTCCAGGATTTCTGAGTTGCAGCCAAAGCTTTTTTTTATGGACAGGAAATAAACTAAACAGAAATCAGCCTTTAGCAGATGCTTAAGAAGTTTAAGATTAAAAACATCCGGTGCATGAATTAAAGACAGAAGCCTCATAGTCTACTGTTTTCCTTTCCTTAAGGGCCGCATTTGTAAGTTTATTCATTGCAACAGGATTGGATTACTGCTTTAAAGGGGATTTTTGTTGGCTGTTGTTGCAGTTGGATTGTTAGAAAAATGTACCATGGCATACGGCAAACAGAAAAACTTTATCTTAACATGAAGCCAGCCCAGCCATGTTTTTTTGTTACAGCCGTTTCTGACTGACGTCTTACACGTCACTGCATTTCATTGGTCCGAAACGTTTCGGTGTCGTTTCTAATGCATCTGTTGGCTTCTTGCAAGATGTATTTTTGAGTGTGAATTCACAAATCCTGCAACAATTCATCATGCTTGCAAGGTAGGCAAAAGCCCAGTGTGCATCAAGAAGAAGGACATGTTATTGTATGATTTATGGAAATAATAATTAAGATTACAGGGAGCACACACACACACACACAATACCCGCATGCATAGGGGGTTTAAACCACATGCAGCATTAAGCCGTATGTCTGGAAACAGACCAGCACAGCCACACTGGTGTTCTGAAGATTGCTGGGGGGCGAATGTCACAATGATATAACTACAGCCATGCCTGCAGAATACTGGTAAGGTGAACGGAGTGCTAGTCTTTTTGGTCCAACAGAGAAAAATTTAAAGTTGGGACATTTCTGAAAAACTAGAAACAATCTAAAAGGCATCATGTGACCCTAAAAGCGTGTAAAAAAAAAAAAAAAAAAAAAAAAAAACCCCACATACTTTCCATCCATACAGATCAAACTGCTAAAAATCCAAAATCTACATGACTGAGACTGTTTTATAGCCAAAGATTATCAGTGGAATGTTCAGATTTTGGGAATATTTTCTGATCTATTCTCTGCATTTCTTTTTCTGTGCCTTTCTTTTTGTATCTCTTTTTGTCAAGTGTGTGTGATTGAGATTTTCCATAGAGCCCTCTTAAATGTGTCTTTGTTGGAGCATTCAAAGGTTATGGCCGGTTTCTCTAAATTAGCCATTGAAGTCTCCAAACAGTCCCTCTATAAAACGCATGGACATATTCAGATATAAACAAGTGTTCTCATGTATGCAGCCATTGCTTTGCCCTTTGAAATGTGAACGGTCCTGAGCAAAGACTACAGTTTTATTGTGTCATTTAGCCCATTCCTGCCTGCTGCAGCTCTCCCAGCCTTCATTCTGGCAGCAGTAAAAAGAAATACATTTTATCAGTACACAGCACAACTTTTTAGCAATCCCACATTTAGTAAATCTGAATCCAGACGCAAAAACAAGAGACTCTGTCCTTTACAAAGAGTCCAAAACTTCCTGCATTCTCCAAAGAGATTTCATTTTTGAGAGGTCTTTGTTTTACAAAAAAGGACTGAATCTGTTTGAGGAACTTACAGCTTTTGAACCATGTGTTAAGTCAGTCGAAGAACAAAACTAGAATTTTGTCTTTGTCTTTTAGTGCAGATGCCTTTTGAGCCAGAGCTGTAGCAAAAAAAAAAAAAAAAAAAAAAAAAAAAAAAAAAAAAAAAAATATATATATATATATATATATATATATATATATATATATAAAAATACAGTGGATATTAGGATTTAGTCAGTCGTTTTCTCATGCAGACTATGCTGTTAGATGAGAATAACTTAAACCATACATGGATTTAATTTCTCCGCTCAACCGTATGAAATATCTGTTTATAAATTGAACGTTAAGGTATTAAAATTTGGTGCTGCAGATAACAAACGTTTAACGGCATGAGTTTGATTCTGAGGTAGTGGTGCAACCGAACGCCACTTCCTGCAGGGCCTCTGCTCGTCTGCCCTGGACTCACCTGAATGTCTCTTCAGTGGATCTAATCTGACCCACTTCCCTTCCTGTTGATCCCTTTGTTCTATGACATTCGTGTGGGTCACACCTTTTGCCTGCAACCAAATGAGCCTCACCACCCTGATAGATTTTATCAGTATCTTCAGTTCCATGTTTTTTCCTTTCTTTAGAGACACACTACAAATGTGGTGTGATAAAATAATGATTTAAAGATGATTATCTGTATCTTATATAATCACATAAAGTTAAAAAGAACAAAGCAGAACAGCTAAATTTTATCATAAACTGTTTTTGTTTACACACGTCACATCGAGGCTATATATTATGCAGGTGAAATCTTTAGCATTTATTTACTGTAGAGGTAAGAAAATACTATTAAACAAAGCAGAGATGAACATGCTGGTGGCGTTAATGTGACCCCTGACCGGCTTACTATGGCCGCCACTGGTTTGAGTCCCGGACTCTTGTCTGCCTCCCACCAATCAGAATGACAAAATAGATAACCCTAGTGCCTGAAAAACATTATAGAGAATGGTGATCTTTTTATGGTTATCTATTTTATGCAATTTTTCCTTTTAATATTCCTTGAGGTAGAAGCCTTATCCTTTATGTTTAAATTCCCAGAATGTTTTTCTTTAAGTTTTCTTTTTTCCAATTAAAGAAAAGAGCAGCATATCCGTCTGTCCAGGGCTGAAACATTTACTTTTGAAATTATATATTGACACGTCAATAGCATACTTTAGTTATATTTTTCATATGAACATAGTTGCGTTTTTGCATTTAGGAGCTCTTATACTGAATTTCATCAGAAAACTGATCAGAATGCATCAGTTGACTGACCTTTAAAGAGATCCTGATCCCTTTGGCCCAAAATATGTTGTAATTTTCCTAATATATCAATTATTTAAACTAATATTTGTGTTGCATGAAAACTCATTATTACTTCAACAATCATGTCTTTTGTTATACTTTTCACCCGTGGTGGTAATTTTTTTTTTTTGCATGCTGGGTAGATGACACAGTTAGGTGTGACTGGACTGCAACCAACGGAATAAACACAGGAAAACTCACATTAGCAGAGACTGTTGTAATTTTATACAATAACGCACTGCATGGCTGCCTCAACGTTTTCAAGAGCCGTTATACATTAGGTATCTGTTGGAACAGAGAAATCAGAAGATAATGTACTGTTTAAAGTGACAGTGAAGCATCTTTCAGCTGTTTTAAATCATTCTAATATATCTGGGAAAAGGTTTTTATCTTGATGCTAACAGCCTCCTTTAGAAACTGCAGCTTTTGTAGCATAGCTTGTCTCTACCCGATCCGTCCCGGAAGCATGAACCGTTGTCCTTCTGATAGATGGAGTTTTTGCACGCAGTATTCGGGCAAAAAGGTAAAAAATAAATGTTGAAGCATTTGAAAATGAAAAACTTGAATGTGATATAAAAAGTTGCTTCACTTATTACAAGGCAATTAATTTCTGAAATAAAATTAGTATTCTGATGAAACATTGGGTGCATTTATATCTGTGACAGGGCTGCCCTAAATACAGGACATGATAAATAAAATGTGTTTTTAGCTGGACGAGTCCTTTCTGATGATGGTTTATTTCCTGTTTTTCTTGAATAATTTGTCCTCCGATTCTGGAGCGGCCCTTGATATCAACCCTGAAAATGTAACTGCTGTCTGTCTGACTGAATCTTGCAGGATGGATTGGCAGATGTATGTTCAGAGGTAAAGGGCTGCGTGAATGCATGCAGATACGGTGAACGAATAAACCAATTCCCTCCTTTTCAGATGAGCCAACTGTTCACCAATGCGGGTCCACAGCAGCACTTTGACTGTGGCTCTCAGAGCTTCACTCCCACAAAAATCAACAAGACTTTGTGAAGTGAGCGAATTGAGTTGACTCGGAAAGCTTTTCAGAATTCCCATTCTGGCCCAATCAAGTGCATGTGGATGTGTTTCTCTGTGCACAGGAGGAGGGGGGGGAGGATATTGCTGCGTTGTGTTTCCTGTGTCGCAGTTTACTGTTTTTTAGAGCAAGAAAAATGGGCTTATGTAACGGTCATGTGATTTAGCCAGAAATAGTGGTGGGGCTACAGCTGCTGCCTCTCATCCTGCAGCTCGGTTCCTTGGCTTTTGGCAGCAGCCAGACAGACACACTGTGCACTGCTCCTGCTGGCTCCCAAAACAACTTCTGCTCAGTACTGCACGCAAAAACATACATCCCATGATGTAGATCACAGAGATAATTCACAGAATCATTTGCAGAGAATCTGCATGTAAACAATCAGTCATACACGGCATGCAGTCCATGCAAAAGTCCTCTAAGTGAAGAAATTACCCTTTAGGAGCGGTGCTTATTAACATGTACACATTTCTACAACATGGTATTAGCATAAAATCAACCTAAAGCCCGGGGAACGCAAGCATTGCAGTGGGGGGGTCACTGGGGTCAAATGTGTGCCATTTGGTCTCAGCTGTGTTTTCTTCTGTGGGTATTGTTTTATTTAGTAAACATATACTGCACTTTTGTGTGTGCTTGTCTTTGTGAGTGAATGAGTGTGTTTTTGCATAGGCAGGAGCATGGTGTGTGTGGGTGTTCGTTGCTCAGAGGCTGGCGGACGTGTGGGAAAAAAGGATTGAGACGCAGCTATAGAGGAGAAGATGAGTGAAAAGAGGAGGAGGAGGAGGAGGAGGAGGAGGAGCGGTACAGTGAAGAGCTAGTGGAGCGGAAGGAAGCTCTCTGAAATGGGAGATCATTGGGTTTAGCTAAGGGCTAGGCAGGAGGCTGGAGGGATTCTCGCCATGTTAGCATCACTGTCAGAAATAGGCGAGCTGCAGCCAGAGCCCTGCTTCCATCATAGCCCTGCATCCTATTTACTGTAAAAGCTCTGCTAAGAAAAAAAATCTAATTTTCCTCATTTTCACTTTAATCTTTGAACTTTTCCATCATGTCCTCGTATTTAATTGAAGGTAACTCTTCCTCACTTGTACTCTTTGCTCTTGCAGGTCAACACAACTACCTGTGCGCAGGAAGAAACGACTGCATCATTGATAAGATCCGAAGGAAAAACTGTCCAGCCTGTCGGGTACGGAAGTGTCTCCAGGCCGGGATGAACCTCGGAGGTGAGCGCCCTGACGTCCGGATTTGCTCTGTCACATGCCAGCGTTTGAGTTACCGTGAGTCTGTTTACAGGGGATAATAGATGTGGAAAAGTAGGTCTGGCTGTCGCCACAGGAGGCCCAGAGATGCTGAGTCATCGGATGGACATGAGCGTAAATCTGAGCACATCTACTGTACCATATGAGATGTTTGTCATCTCCAACCCTGGCTTAAAATAAAGCTGTCGTCACGTTTACAGATTAAAATCATAGATATCCCAATCAGGGGTTTAATTCCAACCCAGTTAGACACACGGAAACCAATACTTTACTGAAGTGGAACCATCTACATGTTAACCTTTAGGAAATGATGAACATATTTATTATTGCAGGAACAGCAAAAGCAACATAACAGATTACTGGCTGCGTGGTCAGCAATCTGCCTTATTACACGCTGGCTAACGTCCTCTGCACCACAGTAACACACAACATTTCTACTATAATTGAAACAGTTGACTCTGAATTAAAATGTGCAATAAATAATTTAAATACAGACTTAAAGCTGCAGTCTGTAACATTGAGAAGAGAGCAGACTTCGACTGAAAATTTGAAGAAAAACAGGTTTCACTCCACTCCCCCACCCTCTCTGCTTCACTCATGCCCCACCTCCAAGCTCCACCCCTCTCACAGCATCTGCGTGGCTACCGCATGCGACCAGAAGGGGGGAGGCGGGATTCAGCGTGTGTGAGCTGTGATTGACACTCCATCAGACGCTCCTCTGGCTGTGATTGGTTGTTTTGACTCGTCCCGAATTATTCTTTCCAGATTGAAATACGGGCAGTAGGCGGTACCAATTGAAGCAGTTTTTTTCACAGGTTACATATCACATGTACTGCTGTCTGGGCATAGGGACAGTTTTAGCCAATATGACAAAAAAGTGATTTTTAAAAACTTACAGACTTCAGCTTTAAGGAATCACTAATAGATACTCATAGGTCAGACGGATTAAAATGCATAGTGAAGTTATGACCTAAACATATCAGTAGGAAAGTGATTGATTTTCATCTGAGCTTATTAATTGGATAAATATAGAGGTCTATAAGAGCCATTATAAGACTTTATTTCATTTTTTATTCTGATAATAAAGTCCTAATATTATGGGAATTAAGTCAATAATATTATAGTCATGATATAAGACAAAATAAATTGTTTTAATTAGTAGTTTTTAACTAAGCTGTGAACCCAAACTGCAGCGAGTGGATATTTTTTTACAATATGTTTCATTTTCTTTCAAAGTACTGAATCATTTTATTTATTTTGTTGTTGTTTTTTTTTGTGCCAGCTATACTAAATACCGACTGAATAAACAAACAAAAAAAATCTTTACACATAGTTTATGAAACCGAAGGAAACGAAAATCCGGTTGCTTTCCAATTTAAGGGGTTCTGTGGTTGGCATGACCCGAACGACTGATAATTTACACAGGCAGGAAAAACAGGAACCTATTAGGTCACGGAATAAAATATGTTGGTACGTCGCTCTGACCTACTGTCAGGCTGAGTGCCACTTCATTTAAATAGACTAGCTGTGCTTATTTTATTTTTTTCAAAAGCACGTGGATTTAAGCATAGAAATAAAATGTGTACTTCTTTATAGAGTAGAATAGAATAATAGAATAGAAATCCCTTTATTGTCCCACAATGGGGAAATTATTCGAGCCACATATACCATAAAAGCTAACAATTAATGAAAGTTCACTGATCAAATGTGGATTCCTGAGCTTTTTTGTTTTAAAACCAAAAGGGGCCCAACTTCATACTTTGACTTTATGAATTTCCTTGCCAGAACAAAAGTCTTCTGGTTAAATAATGGCGCCTTATTATATTATATTAAATTCCTGTTTTACACATTGGTTTTGTTCTTTCTGTTAGTAAATTTAAGCTTTTGTTGTCTATGTAACTTTAGTAGAACGTGACTGGTGGTTCACGGTTGTGCATGCTCTAAATAACTAAATAAAGAAGAGCTTTAAACTCAGATGATTTCTACTCAGTAACTCCAAGCAATCGTGCAAAAAAAGGAGGAAAAATTCAAGACCAAGTGTGAAAAAGGAAACTTGAAATAAAAATAAATATTCAATGCCAAGAGTAATAAGACAGAAGTAATAGTCTGAAAACAACTAGAGCTGAAACAATTAATCGATTAATCGATTATTGAAAAAATCTTCAACTAATTTAGTCATCGATTAATCTTTAATCTGAGAACATGTAAAAAATACCTTTAGCTGACAGAGCGACACACTTAGCAATAATTATATCAAAAAGATATAATTATCTAAATTGTAAAAAACTACATTTACATTTTGCGTTTAAGATAAAAAAAACAGCTTTTCAATCTGTCAATATGCTCTATTCAGATTCATAAGGAAAAGTTTTAGTTTCACCTGGTTTAATCTTGTAAAATCTTTAGAGAATCTATTGCTATCCAATTATTATTTAAAAAAAAATAATAAACAGATTAATTGATTTGCAAAACAATCGTTATTGCAGCGCTAACACAACACGAGTGTTGATGTTTACTGTGACTGCTTCTGCAGTTTTAGCTCAAGCCAATATATGTGTGTGTGTGTATATGTATATGCGTTGATGCCATTTTTCTTTTCAGGCTCCAAAAGGACTAAATAAACACTATCAGGAAGAAGATGTGGTGGATATTGTTCTATTTAAATATGGATATAATTTTTTGTATGTTTTTGCAGTCGTAGTAAACGATTAGGCCCTTTAAACCTCCAGTGATTTAAAAGCAGTGATATCAGAGCAGTGCAGCATTTATAACTGATTATTTCACTATGGTTGTTGTTTAAAAGCCACCCCCTGCTTTTCAACCCTGAGGAAATGTATAATCCAGACTTCAAAATGCAAAAGAAAGAAGTGAGAGGCACCCTACTGCAGGGACGGAGTGCCGCCATTTTTATAGTCTATACCAGGGGTCGGCAACCCGCGGCTTCAGAGCCACATGCGGCTCTTTAGCGTTCCCCTTGCGGCTCCCTGGAGCTTTTTCTAAACTTTATGAAAATCATTTTTTTTTTTGTTTGTTTGTTTTAATATGGAGTGCAGGAGGTCAAACAAAAAATAATTATGTTTTCCAATGCTATAAACATTTGCATAATAAATAAATTTAAACAATAATTTGCGTCATAGCCATAGATATCAGTGGTCATAACTTGCAACCAGCGCTGCCAGGCAAACAAAGCTGCAGGTGTGTCTTGGACCATGGATCCCAAAGGGGAAAAAAGGAAGATAGCTGATGAGAAAAGATTCAAAGGATGGACCGAATCATTTTCTTTCATTATCAATGCGGAACGATTGCCTGCATTTTTGCTTGGTAATGAGAGGTTGGCAAAAAATAAAAATTTGGAAAGGCATTTCCAGGGAAGGCAAGCTAAATATGCAGCCAACAACCAAGCTGGGAGGGAGAGAAAAATGGTGATTGCAGAACTTCTGGATAAATTAGAGGAGAGCAAATTTAGATTTAAGAAATGGATTGCATCTCCAAACTCCACTACTGCTGCTAGTTTAGTTGCAAGGATGGAAAAGCGTCCACAGATCAAACAGGCAGCGCTTTGATGCAGGTATCTGAACTTTCTTCAATTTTTTCCCAACTCCTAAAACTATAAATCATACCAAGGAACAAGGGTGACGGAGGATGTGGGATTTCAGGGTTATAGAGGGTGTCAGATCGTGCTGGTTCCTCATGACACAATCAACTCCTCCCAACAGAAACACGTCCACCAATGAGAGATTCCTTGATCCTGTTTCTATAATTTCATCAATGCAACAAAACTTAAACCATGCGGTGAAGAGCGGTTAAGCGGTGCGTGGTGAAGCAGTTCATTGCTCGTTCCTCACCTCATGCTGCTATGTGACATTTGCTCGAGGATATAGATTTAATCATGAATGCTTATTACATATTCAAGCCCACATAGTCACTTTCTATAGTGGGATAATACACTCAGAGCCCGTGTTTCCATAAGAGGCATGTATAAGACTTTTACATTTTTGCGGCTCCAGACAGATTTGTTTTTTGTTTTTTTTGGTCCAATATGGCTCTTTGAGCAGTTTGGGTTGCCGACCCCAGTCTAAACCATAGGTTGGTTGATTCGGCCAAATTATTAAATATTTCTTTCTTTTTTTCCCTAAATAATTGTTAAGTTGAAGTTTTTTACATAAATGATCCCTGATTTGTTTGTTTTTAAAATTAGTTATTCACCTGATCATCTTCATTTTTGCAGCTCTGTTTACAACAGAAGTTTAACAGGAAACTTAGACCTTAATGAATATCTTTGTTTATCCAAACGTTGGGGGTTAAAAAACGAACCCTAAGCTCAGTGGATTTAATATGAATTCATTAAATTCCCATTGGGACGAATTTGAGGAGCAACTTCAGGCGTGAATTTTCATCATGGATTGTAAATGTGACGGCACCCTGCCCCTGCAGTACGATGCTCTTCCTCAAAGCTCTGATCTGACCTACAAACCGCTCTATAATCTTAGATACATACATGGGTTAAAATAGTCTGCTTTGCATGTTAAAATGTCCTGAGAGGTCGATAGTGTTATATATCTATGAGCAGAAGTCGGATCATCCTTTAATAAAATCGGTCAACTAAGGTTGGAGTTTATTCATGTTCGAATGCAAACCTAATATCATTCAGCTGAATTTAAATGTGTTTGCAAACAGAAATATCAAGCTGCTTCTGTGTTGATTGAACCTCAGATAACCGAACAAAATGCTGATGATATTCAGCCATAAACACGTTGAGTTTCTTGAGTTCTTGTTCTCTGATGGTTTCTGCAAAGAAAAGTTAGAGGGAAAGAAAAGCATCCTAGAAACCAATGCTGTGGAAAATGTCTTCAGTCAGTTATAATGTTTACCTCAGTGGACGTTGGAGTGAGTTCTAAACCAACACCAGCAACATGATCAGTCTCACTAGACCAGCTGTTGTTCTGCTCAATCATAAAGGAGCCTCTGTAGTAACTCTGTTACACCAAACATGTCCAAAAGCTGCATTTATTGGTCTATCAGACAGAATATTCCTCCAGTTTCCCTGCTATTATAGCACCAGTCAGCATTTGTTCATTTTTCCTCTATTGTCATTCAGCCAATTACAGAATATTTCAGCATTAAATTAGGATTTAGAATAATTTCTAATTGAAAGCAAATAAACTGAACTTAAGATGGTGCCTAATCCTCGTTTACTATCTGGTTCAAATGTCAAACTGAAGGTAAAATAGTTCTGAGGTGCTGAAGAAGAAGGGTGCAAACGCTTTGTATATATAAATAAACACACAGCAAAGACAGTAAAATAAATGTGCTGCAAACTGTGTCAGACACATAAAAGATGGAAACCCACAAAACGCATACAAAAAATCATGAAAGTAGCAAAAACAAATTGAACTTAAGAAAAGCTGCAAATTATCTCCAGATTGTGGAAATGCTCCAGACCACTAAACATGAACTTAAAAGAAACCAGACTCTTTGTAAAGACAAATGGTTGCCGGTCACTGATCTCTAATTATTCAATTTCAATTTCTATTCAGTTTATTTCTATAGCACCAATTCACAACATGTCATCTCAAGGCACTTTACAGTTCACCAGATCATACAGTCACATTGATTCAAAGTTTTCTATCTAAGGAAAACCAGTTGATTGCATCGACTCATTGACTCGAAGGCAATCCCTCACACTAAGCATGCTTGTAGCAACAGTGGAGAGAAAAAACTCCCTTTTAACAGGAAGAAACCTCCAGCAGAACCAGGCTCGGTGTGAGCGGCCATCTGCCGAGGCCGACTGGGGTTCAAGGAGACAGAAGCAGAGATACAAAAAGCAGCTGTAGAAGGCGTCCCCGTCCAGGAAACACACAGCCAGGCAGACAAGCTCTGAGCCAGCTCCCATGTCAGAGGATGAAGAGAGCACATCCAGTTAGTCACAGTCAGAGAAACAGGATTACACTGGAAAACAGGCCGACCTCCACAGCCAAACAGCAACAGACTACTATGAGAAAAAGCAGAGAGAGCATAACGTTAGAGATTGAACTAACAGATTCTGCAGAGTGGGAGAATAGAGATAGAATGAAGCAGAATGATGAAATGGGGGTCCCTATGTCCTCCAGCAGTCTAAGCCTATAGCAGCATAACTATACAGATAGCTCAGGATAACCTGAGCCACTCTAACTATAAGCTTTATCAAAAAGGAAAGTTTTAAGCCTAGACTTAAAAGTAGACAGGGTGTCTGCCTCACGGACTAAAACTGGTAGTTGGTTCCACAGGAGAGGAGCCTGATAACTAAAAGATATCTGATAGACTGAAAAAACTGAAGACCCCTACCACCATTTTGGTTCGCCCCGCTTTCAGGGAGTTCTGCCATAAAATGCCTATTATGTAATGTAATTACCACAACACTGTAATCAATACATGCATATTACATATACATCGTTAACTTAGCACATTGGCACATCATTAGATATTGCGTATGTTTAATATTCTTAATATGTGACTACAGTATTATTATGGTCCATTAACACACTCATTGTGTTGTGATGGATTTGTATAATATGTTATATTACATGAATTATAGACTTCATAATGACTATGCAATGTGTTGTGCCTATTTTTTTACCATAAATTACAGTAATCTACTGATGCTATGAAAATGCAAGTGTGTGTAAAAGTGATGACTTTATCTTTGTTTTGAAAGTCTTAAGCCATCCTGAAAATGAGAAAATCATGTTTGGTGCTGTAGCGCACATATTGTTTACATTCCGACCGGTCTAATTAGGGAGTACCAATATGGTGGCTGATGACTTCACAGTACCGTGTATAACCAACATCCTATCAGCAATCCAGTGAATAAATAGAGATCAGTGTTGCCAACTTGCCGTCCCGTTTTCATCTTTCCTACGGACCATCTGATAGATGAGAGGGTTGGAATAGTGACACTTTTACGGCCATTTTTAGAAATATCTTGAATATACATTTTTACAAACATAAAAGTATTGATACGTTTGGGGATATTAAAAATTTCCCATCAGCTAAACTCCAGCTATTATTTTCCTCATGGTGTTTATTTGACGAAGTAAACGGTCCCTCTGTGCAGAGCTGTAATCAGGGAAGCATTAAACCAACCTTTAAATTAAACAGCCGATTATTTTCTTTCATTTATTTTGTATTATTTGATTTTAAAGTCTTTACTCAGAGCTGGAATCGTATTGGGTTTATGTTGCCGTTACTCAGTTGATTTAATTGGTGTATATAATTTTTGATACTTGATAACAAAGCATTGCAGAGAAACATGATGAATTCAATTACAGAGTTCAAAATATGTTAAAAAATAAAGTCTTTCAATCATGAGCTGACATTAAAATAGGTAATTAATTTGACTCCAGGCGATTTAATGTAAAACTTCTATTGATAATTTTAACAAGCTGCTGTTCCTGTTAATGGGGACGACCAAATGAGCTTTGATTTAAAGTCAGACGTTGATATTTTCAGCTAAAATATGAACAGACCTGAAAGCTCTGCAGAATGACTCAACCAACGACCAGAGCGACTATGAAATCATGACCGGGCCGTTAGTCCGTGACCTATTTAAAAGCAATGTTTTCACAAGCAACAAATATGCCCTATAGATATACATACTTACAAAACAGAGAATGATGTCTTGTATATATGGACTCAAACATTTATAATAAAGAGGAAGAATTGCAGCTTAGAACCTCAGTGCAGCTAAAACTATAAATACGGCATGTGACGTTGGCGCCGTGGCTTACCTGCATATTTTTAAAAGCAGAAGTTAACACCCAAGTCCGCTCTATGTTGTGTATGTCTGCGCTCTCACTGATCACTGAAGAACCTTTTAAGTTATTAGATCAGCAATGATATATGCCATGATGACATAACAGTCGTTTATAGCGGCTGGACGTAAAACAAAAATATGTTTCAGATATGTAGTATCAGACTATAAAACTTTAAATTTTTTGCCGGCAAGTTTTGACATTTTAAATTAATGAAGGTCTTGATTTGAAACTGTTTTGTTACAATTCAGTGACAGAATAACTCACTTTAAATGTACGTAAAAATCCATTTATGTCATTCCATTCGTGTGTAGCTTCTTCTTTATATATATTCTAGTAGATTTTTGGTGGTTTCATGCTGAAAGCTCTGCAGGAGGAGAGATCACGCCTTGGATGCAGGGATTGTCTCCCAGCCGGCTCCTAGATCAGCTTTTCTGATTGGCTGTTTTATTTCCTTCATTAAGGTCACTCATAGTGTTCTCTATAGTTCTTTATAGTAAAGGGATCCCTCCTCATAACATATTCTGATTAAAGGTCGATATGAAACATATTAATGACGGATTAAACAGTCTCTATGTCAGTGGATGTTGTTGTCATCTCTGTTAAAATCTGAAGGACTCGAAAGGCTTTGTTTTGTTTTTTGTTTTTTTTTGCTTCAGTAAAGTTTTAAAATTACTGATCCAACTTAAAACCAATGAAAAGACCCAGCTGGTTTTCGTTTTCTTTTGCAGATTTTTGAGTTTTCTATTTTAATTGAATATTTAAGAACTTCAGATCATTGGAAGGTAAAAAAAGATATCAGTTTATCAGAATCAGAATCAGGTTTATCGCCATTGTTAGTGAAGGAGTTCACAAACTAGGAATTTTTTATGGTACAATCGTGCAACATGAAACATATAATATGGAATAGGTAAATAAAATTATAAAAATATCTAAAACACTGTGGGTATAAGGCATGCAATAAAATAGACTAATATATACACTATGTGGAGAGTTTCAGAGTTTAATAAAGCTGTGCAGCCTGAATAACTCAGAGAAGCATAAACGAACAGGCAGTCATACACAGTGGATATTTATCAGCACAGCATCTGCCCACCTCCTCCTTTATGCAGCATTTGCTGTTTTTATTCTCCCTGCATGAAAACATGAAGCCGTAGCATGAACTAAATCAGGGCTTGCCTAACTAAGCCACTGACCCCCAAAAACAGACAATATATAAACTAAATATTTATATTTAATAAGACATTTAATTATTTACTTGTGTCTCTTTTTGTTGTAATTTTTTAATAACATTTAAATCAGTATGACAATATACAGTACAGCATCATAAAATGTAATTTATAACCTTAAATGTAGTATCTACATATTTCATCATATATTTTTGGCCCCAATATACCTAAAGCATCAAATCGCAATGATTGTGAAAATTATCTTGTGATCCTCCCCATAGTCTTTTGGGACCCCTGAGGGCCGGAGCCCCTGAACTAAATAAGTGACTTAAATTGAAAGAGCCTGATGCTCGTCTTCTAGGTCTTCGTTAAAACCTTTTATAATTTTAAAGTGATAAAAACTGAGAACTGAGCAAGATTTTACTAAAATAAAACCATTTTCATTGATGTATGAATCTTTTATGTCTCTGCCTATAAAGCATCTTTTATTTTAAAGATTATAATCCCAGATTAAGAGATCCAGCTCTGACTTTGGTTAATCGGGTTGTTTTGTTCCTCTGCAGCGCGGAAGTCTAAGAAGTTAAAGCTGAAGGGAGTCAGCGAGGACCTGCAGAGCTCCAAAGATAGCCAGATCGCCACAGGTGGCGCTGGAGGCGGCTACCTCTCCTCAGAGAAGGAGCTGAATGCCAGCGCTGCCAGCGCCCTGGTGCCCCACGGGCCCGGCGTGGTCACACCTTTTCTGCCGCCCTCCATCTGCAGCGTGTTGGAGCTGATCGAACCTGAGGAGGTGTACTCCGGCTACGACAACGCGCAGCCGGACACAACCGACCACCTGCTGTCCAGCCTCAACCGCCTGGCTGGAAAGCAGATGGTCCGCATGGTGAAGTGGGCCAAAGTACTTCCAGGTTAGTGACCAGCTGAGGACTAAATGTTGCTTTTGTGCAGGAATTAGAAAAGAGGATATTTTTAGAAAAGAAAAATCTCCTAATATGAGGTTTTTATGTAACACCTGCAGACAGATTAAGAACATGTTTTAGATGTAATATTATAAATATATATTCAAAATATTTCCAGATGAACGTAAATCAGCCCAAAAATCCTAATCTGTACAAAATGTGCCATTAACACTGTTTTGATATTTTCTCATGGAATTAAATTTTATTATTTATTTTAAGGTTTATACTCAAGTTTTGAGAGGAAAATAATGGTGTTAGGATCCAAAACATTAATGTTTTCCTAGAATTTCTTGATGGGCAAACGCTACGGCGTCCGAGATCTGTGATCACAGCTTCTGCAGATTTTCTACAAAGAAAATCTTACAAAGAATGACGAACATCTCTGTTGATCCTCCTGAGTCAGTCCTTTGCAGAGATGGCAAAAGTACTCACTTTCCGTACTTGAGTAAAAGTACAGATACTTGTGTTAAAAAATACTCTGGTAAAAATGGAAGTACTGATTAAACTTCTTTACTCAAGTAAAAGTAACAAAGTACAGGCTTGTAAATTTACTTAAAGTATAAAAGTAAAAGTAGAAACCACTTTTTTCATGCTGTTGCCTACATTTTAAATGGATGTCTGCCAATAGGACTAGATCTCCGTTGTGTTCATTTTCAATCATCTCGTCGTCCATGCTACTATGCTAACGCCACCATCACCAAGCTGCAATGATTTGCCGTGAATGAATACCGCTGAATCTGTCGATTCATCTTGTAGTGGTGCGTCAAATGCAACGTAGATTCCCATCCAATTAGATTGAATTTGGTATTGATGACGTGAAAAATAATAACGGTAACTCCATTGAAATGATTCAAAACTAAAGTAACGAGCCAATTTTTTAAAATGTAAGGAGTAGAAAGTACAGATATTTGTGTAAAAATGTAAGGAGTAGAAGTAAAAAGTTGCCATAAAAATAAGTAGTAAAGTAAAGTAAAAATATCAGAAAAATCTACTTGAGTGCAGTAACTAGGGATGGGAATCGAAAACCGGTTCCTGTTAAGAACCGGTTCCGTATTTTCCGATTCCATGGCATCGTTTGGCAGCTCACTGAACGATTCTTTTTTCGATTCCCGCAGCACCAGAGCCTAGAGCGCCGGCTCTGGGGAGCACGACTTACGTCACGTTTTTTACGTAAGTTACGCAAGTTACGCAAGTTACGCAAGTTGGAAGAACTATTCGAGGAGGAAGACAACGAGCTGCGGTCACTTTGTGAATCAAAGCCCCGTCTTTCCTTAGCCCAGAGGGTAGATCAGGAAATCCAGCTCTATAAAAGCTTGCCCTCCATCCCCTGCAGGGATAGCGCCACACTGTGGTGGTGGAACAAGCAAGATACGCTGCCCTTGCTATCTGACTGGCTGAAAACTACCTCTGTGTGCAGGCTTCCTCCACCCCATCTGAGAGGGTGTTCTCCACGGCTGGAGACACCATAAGCCCTGAAAGATCCTGTATCCTTCCAGAAAAAGCAGATATGCTCATCTTTCTGCAAAAGAACTGTTAATTTTTCCTACTACTGTTTTATAATTAGTATTTTTTGTTATTTAAAATAGGTTATTATCCCATCATTTGTTATTAGACATTGTTGGTTATTAAGTTTGTTCTTGTATATTTATTTTTCATTTAAACACAGATGTTACTCCAGTTTCACATTTCCTGTGGACATCTTGATCTTGTTGAGTTTGTAAGATTGTGCAATAGTTAAGTAAACAAAGTTGATTCTGATAATCAAACTGTTTGTTCTCCTTTTTCCCCCAAATTGGAATCGAAAAAAGAATCGATAAAGAATCGAATCATTTCATAGAATCGAAAAGGGAATCGGAATCGTGAAAATCTTTTCAATTCCCAACCCTAGCAGTAACGAAGTATTTGTACTTCGTTACTTCCCATCTCTGGTCCTTTGATAAAAAAAAAAACACTCTCTGCTGGAGTATGGAGTGAAATTCAGTCCTTTATTTTTGCAAGAAACACATTTTGTAAATGAAAATTTGAAAAAGAGAATGTGATACAAAAAAAGTGACTGAGAGTAACTTTGTTGCTTTCTAAGATATAATTTATTAATCATTATTTGTTTTTAATATTTGATTTTTTAATATTTATTTTTTTTATCACATTTGTCTTTTTAAGATTGAAGTTTTCATCCTTTGCATATTTCATTTTCCAGATCATTCTCTTAACTTCTGGAGGCGGGCTTTCCTCTAGAGTGAGGAGCAAAGAAGCCTTTCTATTGGTCTGCTGGACATTAGCAACATTAGCAGTTGTGTAAAGGTCCGCTACCACTGCAGGCAAATGTGGCCCAAGCCCAGAGATGGGAAGTAATGAAGTACAAATACTTCGTTACTGTACTCAAGTAGATTTTTCTGATATTTTTACTTTACTTTACTACTTATTTTTATGGCGACTTTTTACTTCTACTCCTTACATTTTTACACAAATATCTGTACTTTCTACTCCTTACATTTTAAAAAATTGGCTCGTTACTTTAGTTTTGAATCATTTCAATGGAGTTACCGTTATTATTTTTCACGTCATCAATACCAAATTCAATCTAATTGGATGGGAATCTACGTTGCATTTGACGCACCACTACAAGATGAATCGACAGATTCGGCGGTATTCATTCGCAGCAAATCATTGCAGCTTGGTGGCGGTGGCGTTAGCATAGTAGCATGGACGACGAGATGATTGAAAATGAACACAACGGAGATCTAGTCCTATTGGCAGACATCCATTTAAAATGTAGGCAACAGCATGAAAAAAGTGGTTTCTACTTTTACTTTTATACTTTAAGTAAATTTACAAGCCTGTACTTTGTTACTTTTACTTGAGTAAAGAAGGTCAGTGAGCAGATGACAGTCTGCATCTAATACGTTGGCAGCACCAAGCCTTCCTGTAGAGCTGAGAGGAGCTAATATGTAAGATTAAAAGTTGTCGTTTTACATAATGAAGTTCTAAAGAAAAGCGGTTAAAATCTCTGCCCCACCACTGCCAGATGTATCTCTGTATCCAGACAGTTTCTAGTGCTAAAATGGCATCAGAACTCCCTAAAGCGCCACAATAAGCAGTTTTCCTCTGCTTTTATTTATGTTTTTCACAAACAGCGCCTGCTGACACAATAAATAGCTTCTGTTGTTCTCCTAAAACATAACCATTTCTCCATGTTTAGTGTTTCGCTGCTTGTGACGATCCTTTATAACAATAAAGCTCATGCAGGTCAGTTTGGAGCCTCTAACGGTTCACAGTAAGGTCAGATACAGGCCACATTTTAAAGGTAATGGGACAAACAAACAAAAAAAATCTTCCTAAAAATAATTGATAATCGTTTGAGCATCAAGAGCTGCAGCGAGAACGGAGCCCAAAAGTCACAGTGAGGAGATGTTTCTCACCAAGAAACTAGAAGACCTGAACTTTAAACTGCATCCACTTCCCAGCATTCAGGATGGAAGATTTTATACTCGGGCAAAAATCAGGTGAAGAGCTTGTGTTGATCAAATACTAACAATTTAGATTTAAACTGTAAAATAAGATTGAATGCCTTCATCTTCACTTGTTATCCATTAAAGATGCAGCTCTGCTGCTTTAGTCAGGGTACACAGTTTCAATTTTGAATATTAGGTCAGGAAAATATTCTTAAAATCTCAACAAGATTATAAATGAATCCTATTTGAGCGTTAAATAGAATCACGATCGAGCTTTCCAAACAGAACTCATTTACATCCCCTTTGTCTGCGCGGAGGATCTCATTAAATTCAACCTGGAATGGGAAGAATGTTTATAGAAGGATGAAGCGTTTCCTCTGAGATCCCAGTCAGCGGGTTAGATGTGGAAGGCTCCCTCGCAGGTAGCTCTGAGCACATGCTTCATTTGCTGATTGCAAATATTTGATACCTCAAACGGTGTCTGCTTGCTGTATCCGGAAGTATAAATAGAAGCGAGACAGAAGGGTCAAAACGAGAACCTTGGACTTTCAGATCTGCCCTCAGTCCAGGTTTGGATGCTGCAGCTCAGATCACCCAGAGAGGAGCATGAAACATCAGCGGCCATTTTCACAAACATCTCCTCAGGTTTCAGAGCAACATTGGGAAAACAGGCCAAATTAAAACTACTTCCTTTTTATTTTACACTTTCTATACAAGATAAAATTTTAAATTATATCCACACCATGAAATGCCTGGAAGCCATTTAACATCCATTTATCACAAATCCCCTCCAAATAAATGCAGATTGTCACGTATTTAGACGGAAATATTCCCTCAGCCACTATTAGTCACTGGTGCGTCCTCACTTGGCCTAGGTTTCTGCATGAGAAGGAGACTCTTGCCAGAGTTTGATTGAGAGTTTGGCAACTTTCCTGTTTGACTATTTTTGGAGCTTCATACACAAAGCGCCAATAACCGGGGGCCTGGTGGGATCTGCATAAAAAGAGAATGGGTGAATACTTGTCACTGGTTATCATGTCAAAGCAAACGGCGGATTCAAAATGAACACTTAAGCGCAGATAAGTGTGTGGAATGCAGTGACACAGATAAACACACAAGCAGAAACTGGTTTCTAAGTTTTCTTTTGCCTCCTTTAAATGGCTCGTGACCCATGATGTGTGTGTTGTGGTGTTTTTGTTTGCTAGGTTTCCGGGGTCTGCCCATTGAGGACCAAATCACCCTGATCCAGTACTCCTGGATGTGCCTGTCCTCTTTCTGCCTCAGTTGGCGCTCCTACAAACACACCAATGGTCAGATGCTCTATTTCGCCCCGGATCTCATCTTCAACGAGTAGGACTGCATCTTCTTTTTGTGCTTTTTTGTAATATTTTCATCTGTTGTTTAGTTTTATTTTTTAAAAGGACAGTTTTTAGGTCTAAGCAAGGAAAAGTTATTTATACAGCAGCACATTTCAGTAGCAGGACGATTCAAAGTGCCGTACATAAAAAAAAAAAACACAGGGAATAGTACATTGCAAGATAATTATAAAGAGAAGAGGAAAATGATTGATGAATAAAAGTAATAAATTTGCTCTATAAACTTTAATAAGTTTAACCATTTTGTGGTTGAATGGGTTCATAGTCACCTGGTGACATCCTGATGTACAGCTGGGTGTCATCCGCATAGTTATTGTGACTTATGTTGTTTATTATAACTTCAGGGGAGCATATTGAATAGGAGGGGCCCTGGGGTGGATCCTTGGGGAACGCCACAAGTGATTTTTGTCATTTCTTATGTAAATTTCCCTGCTGATACAAAACAGGGACTAACTTTCAAGTTTAAACCAGTCTAGTGCTGGACCAGAAATATCTGAATAAATTAACGATTCATGCTTGTTTCTTGTTTTGAGGTGTCATAGATACACGTGACATCAGATGTTTTAGAACAAGGGCTGATCAGCTTCTCTAAATACTACTTAGGTGTGAGTGTGTGTGTGACTGGTTTGTCCTGTTTGTCTTTCTGTTGCCCTGTAATGGACTGGTGACCTATCCATGGTGGAACCCACCTCTCGCCCATTGACTGCTGGTGCTGGCACCAGCACCCCTTGTGACCATAGCTGGGATACAGCGGGATGGAAAATGGATGGAAGTGCTAATCAAAAACCAACAAATTAAATGTACAAATCTACAACCCCTGATGAAACAGTTACACTGCTTACTAATTGGTTCAGTAATGCACTTAAAAGTTGTTTGCAAACTGCCTTTAAAGAAGAAGAAAAAGGAAGGAGATTAAAACAGAACCATTGACCCAATATTTATTTTTTTATTATTATTTTATTTTTATGTTTTTGCAGCAAATACTTTGGAAACAACTTCTCAGTAAAGATATAGGCTGTGTCCGAAAGTCCATCCTAACCCCCAAATCCCTTAATCGCTATGTAGAGCGGGGACTATATACTGTAGTGCACTTTATAGTCAACTCAGTACTCACTACTTTTCACTCCCTGTTGGTCATGTGACTCCACCTTTTCACATGTTGCCTGTGCATATATTCCTTCTTTGTCACCGCTGTTGGGTAGCGACAGGCGTAGTCGACAGTGGGCCGCTGTGACAACAAATCCCATGAAGAATACCAATCTATTTATATTTGCTCGTCTAGCGACCATGCATGATCATTACTTTTCAAGGTGTCCACAACTTTTTCATCCACTAGATGTGTCAGGCTCGAAACCTTGGACCTAACATTCAAACAGACAGATCCGAACGAGTTCAAGCAGTCTATATTTAGAAACTGCGTGCTGCTGCTGCTCAGCTGGAGCGGATAAACCGGATCCTCTGTAGAAGCAGAAACTCAGGTCAGGTGATGAGCGGACCTGATGCCAACCAACGCCGAGGAGTCTCCAGAAGGGAATAGCTGAGCCGAAGTCATAACCGAAACAAGTTCATAAACCAGACGATCAGAGAGCCGATGAGGTACCGATGAGGGAATCAAAGCCGTGGTCAGAAAAACAGTCGAGGTTTGATAAGCCAGTAGAATCCAGGAAGCAGTCCAGAACAGATCAGACTAACAGAACAGTAAGAGGCACAGCAAAACTCGGGATCCACAAGACAGAAACAGGTCACAATCAGGTAATCAGAACTATAATCAAAACGCTAGAGTTACTCTCACCAAACTGCTCGAATAATCTGGCACTGGAGGCTTGAAAACAAACAGTATATATATGAGCTGGAAACAGGTGGATCATATAAGCAATGATGAGAGAACAGAGTTAAACAGGTGGATGGAATGAGCAATCAAGCCAGCCACCAGTGCCAGGACCATGTTCACTCGCTCATCTAAAATCACTATATAGTGCCCTATATAATGATCAGTGTTGGGAACGTTACTTTGAAAAAGTAATTAGTTATAGTTACTCGTAACGCCGGTATTTCCATGTGGAAAACGCTGTTTTGCTGCTGGAGTCCTCCTCACTCTCCCTCTCTCTGTGTGTGCTGTACGTTAACACCGTAACAGCCAATCCCATCCTCCCCTCTCTCATGACAAGGCGCGCACAAGTCCTTTCATTAAAAAAGGTTAATTGTGCGACCTGAGTAACGTGCAGTAACAATGGTAACAATGGTAACTGCGTTATAGTTACAGTCAAAGTAGTAACGCCGTTACCCCCATCACTGATACTGATTAGGGTGGACGTGCAGACACAGCTATAGTGTTCAATTGATTGCTCTAGATTCTTGGTGAGCAACCTTAGGTGCATCACTGCCACCCTCTGGTAAGGAGTGTAACAGCTTCCTTAGCTTTTGTAGATTTGTACTCATAAATGTGTTTGTCTTTGTATGTTGTTTCTTATTCTAAGTTAGTGGGAGCATGTAGATACAGAATAAAAATGCCCTAAGATGGACATTTGGAGAATGCAACCTGTGATTTTTTGTGGACTCTGTTGTGAAGTTACCTACTGACACAAAAAAGGTCCAAAGTATATAAATATGATTCCCTGTTGGCTGTTGAAGGAGACAAGGCAATCCAGTGTCCACCGAGCATTAGAGTCCTCAGTGAACTCAATTAGAAGGTATTAGACATTAAGGGCATTAGAGTTGGCAGCACTGAGACCCGTTGGACCTTGAAAGGCGTTGACCTTCAAGTCGAGCCAAATGTTTCAATCCTCATCCTGTTACACTGAAAATCACTTTCTTACCACACAATAAATCAAGGAAAAAAGCTCTTTCAATTAATTTATTGTACATCAGATTTAGTTTTGTCCAGGTTACATCTTGGTGTTAAACTTTTACGAGACTAATCTGTTGTAAGCTGATTGATAATCAGCAGATAAAGACAACTTTCTCATCTTTTATATTTTATTTTTTATCTAAAGTTATCTAACGTACCGGTAGAAGTTATTTTCATAATTGTATTTTTTATGGTTTTTTTTACAGCAATGTATTAAAGGTACCAATGAGAAGTGAACCATTGTTTAGCATTATTTAGTATACTAATTTTTTTTTTTAATAACAGTTGTCACTAATACCTACAACTACACAGTTTTAAAGCTTATCTTTCTTTTCTGGACACTCTCAAACTGCCAGCTTCACACGCAATCTGCTCATTTTAATTGAGCGGAACCAATCCAGTTTGCATGTCTTCACAGTTACCAAAGCAATCTTTGTAGATAGTCTGCAACATGCCCACTTATTGCACGCACATTAAAATGAATTGTAGAGCAAATTAGCATCCCTTGTTCTGAATCTTTGTAGATCAGGCTCTAAGCATGTTGGTCACATGAGACTCCTATAAAACATATTTATATTTGTGGTGGCCATGTGACAAAATGTGGAAAAGTTCAAGGGGTATAAATACTTTTGCAAGCCACAGTAGGTCACAAGCTTTTCTCTTGGACCAAATTAGTTTAAATGCCTTCCTCTTATGAATTCTTTGTGTTTGGTTATTAAAATCCAGTAGGCTTTTTTTTTCAGCTCACCTCCTGCTTTAATCAAACTGCTCTGTAATTGGCTAAGCCCACTTAGCTTTCTGGGACAATAAGGTCTATTTCTCTTTAAAGCAGTTTAACATGAATTATTCTAAACTTCATAGACAGCAATGGTTTGACCAACAATTATAACATAATATAGATACTAAAAACTTAATTGATCCCCTATGGTTTTATGCATACTGTAAAGCTCCTTCCAGCGTAATTGCACAGACAAGCATCATGGAGGAGTATGGAAGGTTAAAGGGACAAAATTGAACACATAAATAGATATATCATTAAATAGATAAATGTAAATATAACAGGAAATAAATTATTATACCACGAAATAATGAAATCTATAATGCAATAAATAAATACACCCTTATAATGACCATTTAAATTACTATATCTACCATTCATGATTTAATACTTCATTGAATAATGTTTTTTTAATAAACCATGCAATAAATAGGTGTACCATGAAATTATTAAATGTATAAAAAAATAAGTGTTTTATTAAATGTTCCATTAAATATAGAAATGTTTATTTATTTAATATTGTATTAAACTATTTATTTAATTTTTTATTGATTAAAATGGAAAACTAAATAATTAAATATAACATTAAATTATTAGAAATACAGTTTTAATTATGACAATAATTAAATACAATTGTTCATGAATTAAATTATTTAATCATCTGCTGCGCAACGCCATGAAATATTAAATATATTTCTTAAAAAAGGACAGACTTTTTATTGTCATAATTTAAAGTGTACATTTTAATGTTTAATTGGGCATTTAATTATTTACTTCTACATTTCATAATCTAATGGTGCATTTAATTGTTTAATGCATTATTAAATTAATAAACAGTATGTTTAATTAGTTAATGGAACATTAATGAAACACTTACTTTATTCATTTAAAATGAGTTGAATTTAATATGATTTATTTATTGAAGCATTTGATTATTTGATATGTTAAAATTATAGTGGAGGATTTTCTCGAATAATAAAATTTTTTGAAAAGAAAACTTAAAAAAAAAAAAATGCACATGTACAACCCTATACCCGCTCCCGAGAGGGAACGCAGATAAAACGCCTGTGAGAGCATTCAGGAGCCCGTTTGTCCTCATGCACGCTCTGTTTATAAGTTGCTGTTTGCATCAGTCGTGCAATATTACTTTCTAAAAGAAGATTTGCAATTTTTCCACTATGTCGGACTCACCACCGGTAAGTGAAAATGAGGACGAGCATGTAGGACGGCCTTACGTAAACATATCAGCAGAATGATTGACAATTAGGAGGACCATTTATTTAAATGTTCCATCCGGAAAAAGAACATAGTCCACTAATCCTTTAAGTAAATAAATCGTAAATTTTAAGTATTTAGTTGAAAACACTAATGTCACATTTATTTATTTATTTTATTTTATATTTCTTTGTACATTTATTTATATCATGATGCATTTATTTATTTAAGACCTTTATTTAGACCAGGGGTCTTTAACGTTTTCCAGGCCAAGGAACCCCAAAATGAGGGCGAAATGGAACGGGGACCCCCTAATTATATATATTGTATCAAATTTTGTTATATCAAACTTATCCTATAGTCACTCTATTACTGATGGAGTAATGTAACAAAATAAATTTCTCCCTGGGATTATTCAAGTATTTCTGATTCTGATTCCTGGTTGATAACACAGGTGTTGTGAATGAAACGGTGCCCAGCTTGAAAGAGCTCCTGTGTGTCTCTGAATGTGTGCATTGAAGACTGAAAGACATCTTCTGCCTCCATTTATCTGTTTACTACAGTGTGTTGAATTCATGTTAATGTTTATTTAAAGACATTTCAATTAGTGGAAAAAATTGCAGGGAGGAGTATAAAAAAAAAAGTAATAAACCAAAACCTTCGCGACCCCCATGCAGTACCTCCGTGGACCCCCTTGGGGTCGTGGACCCCCGGATGAAGACCTCCTATTTAGACCCTTTGAACCTTCCATAAAGGAGATATGTACTAACTCTGCTTTATTGTATTTTAAACTGTTTACATCACCAGCCACTTAACCTTTTAGATGTTAAAAATCGCTGAAAATGACATTTATTACAGTATCATTTTCTTATTTGTTTATTTTTATTACAAAGAACCTTTGATTGGCTTTGTATTAATCATTGGGAATCATATTTCTTCAGTGGCAGCTACAGCCCCTAAATAATTATAACAAGTAGTTTGTAAATGAAAAAAGTCTCACAGTCAGTGGGTTTGTGTTGCTCTGACAGGAAGAGGGTCTAACTGGCATTCAGCCACATCAAAATCTGCATTCCTAACACCTCAGTGTATGGAAATGTAAACATATTTCTGTTATGCTCTCAGAAGCTGTGAAACTGGAATTTTATTTACATTATTTTAGTGCTCAGCTGTCAGTCAAACACTCTGCTCACCCACTTAGGGGCCTGGACTTTACACACCTTTATCTGTTTTTAGCTCATTAGATTCAACTATTTATCACTTTAGTCACAGACTTACAGTAAAACTCCTTTAAACTACTCAGATTAGTTTAGTTTTGGCTCCTTAGGAAAGAATTAGTAACTGAGTGAGCTGAAGAAAGAGGGGGCAGAAAAAGAGGAAAACTTTTTTTTTTTTTATGTCTTTCTGAAAACCAGCAGCTTGTGTTTCAGCAGTGATTTATCAAACGGAATGAGTGACAAACTTTCCCTGGAGGTGTATGGAAACAAATTTGTTCCAATGTTTTTGAAGCAAAGAACACAATAAAAAAAATAAAAGCATTTAAAAAATGAGACGTAAAAAAAATGTATTGTAAAAAAGTGTATGTGAGTAATTTCCCTGTGCATGGAACATATATTGTTACAGTCTGCTATTTTTCAGATTTTTAAATGCTCAGATTTTCTTTCCAATTTTTCAAATATATATACAGATTCTTATTTTGTTGCTTTTTTTGTCTGTTTTTGTTTTCTTCTCGTTTGCACTGTCAATATACAGATTTAAGCCTCTTTACTTCTGGGTGGTCTGTGCACAGACCAATAGAAATACTGATGCTAAAGTTAAAACATAACAGACATCTTTCATTTAGTGCACACACACAACAAGCCAGAAGTTTAAAAATCAGTAAATCAGGGATTTAGAAACAATGCAATAAAATAAAATAAATAAAAATGTTTTTTGTTAATATAAAATTTGAGAAATTATTATCTAAACAAAACTTTGAAAAAAAAATCTGAATAATATTTGAAATGATTAAAATATATGAATAAAATAAAAACAAAAAACATATTCATTGAACTTTTTCATTCAAACTCTCTAAACCTTTTTTACTTTAATTGAGAAGTCCCTACTAAAGTTACATTTTGTTGTTTGCTTTCAGTAATATTGGAACACATCTCTCCCCTCAGCAGGGAGGCTGCTTATTTCTCCCATTAGTCTTTACTTTACAGCTGCAAAGAATTTAACGCCTTCAGGTCAACATGACCCTCTGGCTGTTTGACCCATAAAACGCTGCTGGAATAGAACCATGACCCAAACTATTTGTGGGAGTATAAATATTACGAAAACCCCTTTAAACCACTGGTATACTAGTCAGAAAAACAACATCCAGTTTATTTGATTTGCGTTTAAGTAGAGAAAAATGCTTTATTATGATAATTTTTAGTGTTTAGTTGAATTTCTGTAGAGGATCTCTGGACCTCATCCCTGCTGATTCAGCATCACGACTTCAACCTTTGAGAAACAAGCAGCCATTTTTCCCCTGAGTGCAGCTAATTAAAAGTCATTTAAAATGCAAATTATACGCAACCTTTTATTAAACCTCAACTAATTTTGGTTCAATATCTACTATAGGAAAAATTTGGTCATTTTAAAGCAACCAATAGCTCATTTGTGTTTTTAAGGATTTAAGATAAAGAAAAACATCTCTGAAAGGGAACTGCTTTCTTTTCTTCAATAGGATATACAAAAATATATATTTCTGTTTCTTATCTTTCTTTCTGTTGCAAAAATGATTTTCATTTACTCTTTTAAAATCCTGCTAAAGCTTCTAAGGCTGGTATTTCTTATCATGTTATTTTCAAAACCTTGAGTTGGTTCTTTATATTTTTTAGCCGCTATTAAGTTCCATATCAATAGTCTAAAAGGTTCCCATTTACTTTATTCTTTAATTAGGTTAAATAATTTGTAATAAGATATTTTACTGTTGATTCTTTCAGTATTTAATACAAAGAGGACAATAGATTGTTAAAATATAATGATATGGTATTTTTAACTTAGTATATTGTAAAAAACAAACAAACATTTCAACCATCTAAGCTCATTTGGTGTCTTGTGACCCTCAGAGGGATCCTTAGCCCCACTGTGGGAAATTCTGTCTTAGATGATTTTACTACTAAAATGTGTATGAAAAAAGGGAATGAAACATTATTCAGACTTAATACACAGCGTGTGCATTTTCAGTACATCATCCAGTAATTTAATAATAATAATATGATTTCTGTGTGTAAAAGCCCCATGTTTCCTCTGTAAATGTGTTTCTATGGTGACCAGTGACAGCTATAAGGTCCTGTGCAGCCAGAGCTGCAGAGAAAGAGGTGCATCTGTGCTGCGATACAAAAAGCTGCTCTCTGCAATCTGGAGGGATTTGGGATTCTGCTCTCAGCCCCAAAAAGCAGGATCCTCCTCTGTAGTTTTTGTGGAAATCCACTTTTCCTGGACCCAGCTAGTCAGTTTCAGATGCAGTGGAAAAGAGAGGAAACACATAATTCAGAGAAGCCTTTAGGAAATAAATGGATGAGTGGGTGCTAACAGAGACACGTGTATTCCAGAGAAAAGCTTCATCCGACTGTGTTTCCTTCCTCAGGGAGCGCATGCGGCAGTCGGCCATGTACGACCTGTGTCTGGGCATGAGGCAAATAAGCCAAGAGTTTGTCCGATTGCAGCTGACCTACGATGAGTTCCTCTCAATGAAGGTGCTTCTGCTTCTCAGCACGGGTAAGCAGTCAGCCTCACTGCACACAGCACTAAAAATAAAACCAACCTGGTTTAACTGATTCTTGTAATATCAACAAATAAAAACATAAAAGTCCGGAAAATGTGTCTGAAATCCAGAGGACTATTGACCCAGAGACGGCCAATTTGGCTTTCGCTTTTATGTCTTTTTTTGCTTTAGTGTTTCGGAGCCTCAAAGGAATCTATTAGTCAATCTAATTAGTCAAGCACATATAAACACAAAATAAGTTTTTAAATGAAGCTTTTCATTTTAAGACAGGAGAAAAAGAATCTGATAATTGGTTTGATCAACTTCAGCAGCAAAAGCTGCCTAAAGCATTTGGGATACTGTGCAGGGAGTCTCCAGGTCACCAACAAAGCCTGGTTTCAGAACGTGGGATTAACCATTCCTGAGTTTCCCTTGTGCTTTTAACATTTGCACACTTTACTTCATAAATTCATTCCTGATTCCTCTTTTGATGACTTGAAGAAGAAAAGTTTAGTTTTGCCAACATGTTGAAGTGGCTACGTGCTGGAGGCATTGTGGTGCTGCGGACGGGCAGAATCTGGACTTTGGTTCAGTTCTTTATGCCCATCAGATCCTGAAGCACGAACGACCAAGGAGGATGTTGGTATTAAAGAAAGATATATCAGTGAGATTTAAGTTGATGCTCCCATGGGAAGGTGTTAGCACGGGAAATGCCTTCCTTTGGGGTTTCATTCATAGAGTCAAGGTTCCGTTTGTTCTCCATTTGCAGTTCTGACATCTTCAGCTCTTCTGGAAAAGATTTCAAAAAGGCTTGAGAGGGTTTTGTGGGGATTTTAACCTTTTCTTCTGAAGAATAGTCATGAGGTCACATACTGGATAAAAGATAAGATAATATGATGATTTACCTTTATTCAATTCATTTTGGTTTATTTATATAGCGTCATTTCACAACACATGTCATCTCAAGGCCCTTTACAGAGACAATTCAAACAGAGTCAAATTGATTCAAAGTTTTCTATCTAAGGAAACCAGTTGATTGTATCGACTCATTGACTCAAAGGTTATCCCTCACACCAAACATACTCATAGTGACAGTGGAGAGGATAAACTAAAATTTTAACTTGGCGATCTCACACTGGAGAAATTCACTCTCTGCATTACCCTATCCCCTTGGGGAGCAGTGGGCTGCCACTGTTGGTCCCCAGTGAGCATTCCGGGATCAAGGGTGTGGCTCAGGGAACCAGAGTGGCATTCTGTGGGATTTGAACTCTGAACCTCCAGGACCCAAGCACCATGCTCTAACCACTAGGCCACCACTCCCCCAACAAAGCTAGCGTTGGACAAGAAGGTGTGTTAATTAATCTCATGTTTAATCCGTTTAAGTTTCAGACCTGGTTTAGGCTAGAAAACCATTCCCAAACTATGATGCCCTCAAACTTTATGGGCTGTTCAGACAGGACCTGGTCTGCATTTCACTAGCCTTGCTAGTTATCTGGGTAGAAGCTTTTGGTGCTGGAAGAAAGAGGTCCAGAGAGCGGATTAAGGCCTTCAGGCTTGGAAAGAGGTCTGTTTCTTTGGCAACTATAATCATTAATTTGTGTAGTATACGTTAAATATAATTAAATTCAGTTTATTCATATAAGGCCAATTCAACACATAATCTCAAGGTACTTTACAAAGACAGTACAACCAGATCATACAGTCAGATTGGTTCAAAGTTTTCTATCTAAGCAAAAAAATTAGCTGATTGCTTCGTCACATTGCCTCGAAAGCAATCCCTCACACCAATCATGCTTGTAGCGAGAGTGGAAAGGAACAACTCCCTTTTAACAGGAAGAAAACTCCAGCAGGAACAGGCTCAGTGTGAGCGGCCATCTGCTGAGGTTGACTGTGGTTCAAGGAGACAGATGGGGATATAGAAAAAGAAGCAGAGATAAGGAAACGCACAGGCAGCCCCCTCCGGGAAACACACAGCGCGGCAGATGAGCCCCGAGCAAACTCTCATTTCATAAAGCTGTAATTATTATAACGCACATGGTTTTTAGCATTTCCTTCTTTCGCTGAAAAAACCAAAGGCTGACACAGTCGGTTCCATGCCATTCCCCTGACACCTTCACACCCAGACGCCTCCCTCTGACTGTCTGACAAAAGGTTTGAATCATCGCTTCTGATGTCTGCACTGCTTCTCATCACCATGCTGGACGCTTTGACCCGGTGCCGTACGATGCATCTGGATCGCCACTGCACTGCTATGTAGCCCTTACCATGCAGCTAGCACGTAGTCTCCCTGTTTTTGTAAGGTTTGTAGTTTTGTAGATCTTCTGTAGAAAGTTGGAGACCTCTGCCTATAATATTTCTGATAATGCAGCATAGCGTTACGCTAGCTGTCAATGTTTGGTTGAGGTTTGAGGACCCAAATGCAGAGGCAGAGAGCACTGAATAACTGCACAGCGAGAGTATTTATGGTTGACTGAACAATGGGAGGACTAACGAGCTGACTGGGAGCAGGTGTGAACAGAAGCTTCTAGGAAAAGAGCGAAAGAAAAGGAAACCAACACAAGAGGGCAACAGGGAAAAGCCCAAGAACTCAAATACATCCAAAACACTACAAAATGGTAATTAAACCAATAAAACTAGAAAACTAAGAAAAACATGAATCAACATGAAACTGAAAACTCAAAGAAAACTTAAAGCTGCAGTCTGTAACATTGAGAAGAGAGCAGACTTTGACTGAAAATTTGAAGAAAAACAGGTTTCACGCCATTCCCCCACCCTCTCTGCTTCACTCATGCCCCACCTCCAAGCTCCACCCCTCTCACAGCACCTGCGCGGCTACCGCATGCGACCAGAAGCGTCCAAGCAGCGTGCAACACGGCATGGAGTGTGAACCGGTAAGAGCGATAACACTCACCTCCAAGCAGCTAGATATAAGATGCTGGTTATACCGAAGTTTGCCGTGTAAGCAGTTGTCGGCAGGGGCAGTAAGGGCAGTTTCTCTTTCGCTGGTGGCTGTCGCTCCGCCATGACTTCCACGCGCGTCCTCCTGACTGCGGCAGCCGGGCGCTGTGGCAGGTTAAGCGGTGAGGGGGGGGGGGGGGGGGGGGGGGGGGGGGGGATTCAGCGTGTGTGAGCTGTGATTGACACTCCATCAGACGCTCCTCTGGCTGTGATTGGTTGTTTTGACTCGTCCCGAATTATTCTTTCCAGATTGAAATACAGGCAGTAGGCGGTACCAATTGAAGCAGTTTTTTTCACAGGTTACATATCACATGTACTGCTGTCTGGGCATAGGGACAGTTTTAGCCAATATGACAAAAAAGTGATTTTTAAAAACTTACAGACTTCAGCTTTAACAGAACCAAGACCATAACACTAGCACTTTTTAGCTAAACAGTATGTATGGTTGGGGGTAAGGGGGATGCTTTAAATAAAAAGAGGTTAGGGACTACAGGTCAGAGTTCATCCATTCATTCATTTTCTGTCAAATTTATCCAAAGCGGGTCGTGAGGGGTGCTGGTGCCTATCTCCAGCTGGGTCAGAGTTCATTCACCAGAAAAAGTCTGAAAGTTAACAAACTTTCCCGACAGATTATTGTGTCCTGCAGGTGCACTCTTGGTAGTTTTTGTGTTTTTTTGCTTTGTTTTTGCCCAGTTAGTAAATAAAGTGTCTCATGTATATTTCTATAGAAACGCCACATAACTGGAGGAACGATACTGAGCATGGGGCAAACAAGGAAGTATTGGGGCTAAGCTAGTTAGCACCTCCATGTGGTCGTTGTGAAAATAATGAATAATAAAGAAATGTTTCAGAATGAACAAAAGCCCCAAAAATATCTGATTCCAAGCGGAAAAAGACTGGAGCACTTTGGGAAATCAAGCTAAAGCTGCCAAAGCGTTCAGCTGTAGTCGCTAAGTTGACGGATGCGAAGTAAACGTCCTTATTAATACTGATACTAGTGATAGAAAAGCTTATCTTAGTCTCTACAGTCTGAGAACAAAGGAGCAGAGGGAGTAGAGTACATAAAATTTTTTACCAAACTAACAGCAACAGAAATTAATTTTTTGCTCAAGTAATACTAGAAAGTAGTCGTCGAATAAATGCTCAAGAATGATGAATTTCTTGGTAAAATCACTACTCAAGTTCTCTGTAATTGTTTGCTTGTTTTATTTCACATTTAAAAAGATGTTTTTTGGTCTTTTTTTTTCATTTAGGCATATAATGTTACAACTATCAAGCTTAAACTTTTTTAGCGGCATCGTGTCTCTTTAATTTGTCTCTGCAATTTATGTTTAATTCTTTGATTTCTTTTCTTTATTATACAAATAAATTAGAGCCGATCTAATGGGGATCTTTGAGGTAACCTCCTCTCTACAGAAGCAGGTTGTCGATAAGGTGTTTGGTTTTCTGCTCCAGAACTCCTCTCTCTCTCTTTCTCTCTCAGGTCACACTCTGATCTGAATCCTACTAATCCGGTAACAAAGATCCGAACTGTGAAAACAGACATGAAGGCATGAGGAGCAACAAAAAGGGAAAAGTCAAGCAAAAGGCTGACGTTCTGCTGCGGTTCCTTCAGTTTTATTCCACCTTATCGCCACAGAAAGTCTCCTTCCCACCCACAGCGTCTCACGGCATATTTGAAAAGAACTGTTTCTCTTTAACATTCAATAACATTCCAGCAGATAAACGCGTCTCAGCCGTCACCTCTCACCATCTAATTTAGGAGAAAGTCCTGCTGATGGTGAAAGTAGAACTGAAACACAGGAGCTGACAGGGTTTTATTCACAGTTCGCTTGAAAAAGTGTTTGTTTTGTCATGAGACAAACTTCAAGGTTTAATGTTAGCATTTTACTTGATAGATGCACAGAGAGCAGCAGATCATTACTGTAAGCTAACGAAAATAGCCAACATTTGTTATCTGTGCTGCCAGCCTCAGCTCCTCTGGTTTCTGACAGATTTACATCCAAAGACAGAAATTTGCTCATTCTGTTCAGAAATTAGCTGAACAGCAGCTTTC